TTGGTCCTGGTGACCACTGAATCAGAATCAGACAATAAAAGGAAACCAAAATTACTGAGCTGACACAGAAGCAGGTGGTGATGGCATATCTTCCAATGGGGAAACCTGTTCCAGTGACAACTGTCTAAGAAGGGATAACCTCCTGATTTAAAGAGCTATCCTCTCACTTCCTTCTGTGTCTCTAGGACAGGAAGTAAAGGAACATCTCTGTAATGGGACCAAAACAGAACCCCCGTGCATAAAAGCAAAAACAAGAGATTTAACTTGCTCTGCAGGGCTGCCCTGGGCACGTAGGAGAAAGGGCACATGACAGGTTGGGCTGGAAGTCAGGAAAAGAATTGGGAATGGGTGGGGAATGGTATAAGAAAATTATGTAGAGAGCAAGGAGGAGGTGGTTATAACCAGGGGCGGACTGACCATTTGGAAATTCAGGCACTGCCCAAGGGCCCGGGGTCAGTAGGGGGCCCCATGAGATGCCCCTGGTACCTTTTTCATAGGCTTTTTTGAGTTTGGGTAAGGAAACAGGGGCCCCATGATTCCCTATTGCCCGGGGGCCCCATGAGTTGTCAGTCTGCCCCTGGTTATAACTTAGGGACACCTTGAGAAGAAATAAACAGCGAGGTGAGCAATTTGGCCCACCCACCTGCTCTCTTGGTAAAAATGTGGATATGGCTATGATTGGGCAGCACAGTGGCTTAATGGTTAGCACTTCAGCCTGGCAGTACTAGGGTTGCTGGTTCAAATCCAAACCACAGCACCACCTGCCTGGAGTTTGCATGTTCTCCCTGTGCCTGTGTGGGTTTCCTCAGGGTACTCCGGTTTCCTCTCACACTCCAAAGACATGCTGGTAGGTTAATTGGCTCCCGTCTAAATTGGCCTTAGTATGTGTATGTATGAATGTGAGTTAGGGACCTTAGAATGTACGCCCCTTGAGGGTTAGGGACTGATGTGAATGTACTATACATGTATGTAAAGTGCTGCATAAATTGACAGCGCTATATAAGTACCTGTAATAAATAAATTATTAGAAGTGCATATGTTTGGGTAATGGAAGTATAGGAAGGAGGACTTGTGGGGCATGTTGTATTTTTGTCACAGCATCAGCGGGTCCTTGGTGGTGCTAGAAAGGTAAGATTGTTGGCAATGTTTGGATGGGTAGTTTAACCATAATGGTCACAAATATTTATGACTATGTAGTGTTCATGAAGCAATTAATTAGTAAGGTTTAATTGAAGTGAACAAAGGTGTACCACAAGCTGGTTGTGAATGACTGGTGGATGGTAACGAGTTTACAACAGAACATGACATTGGGTGACACTACCAGGGACCTGGCTTTAATGGTTGTATTAGAATTCTTGTATGTTTTTTGAAGAATTGATGGCTAAATGATGTTATTGTTATTATATTGTTTTTTAATATAAACTGGCCATAACACTCCAATGAAAACAAATTTGTGTTATAGATTATTAAGTGTTCTTGCATGGCAAGACCACTTACTGTTATCTCACATATATATTCTTATTATTATAGCCAAATTTACCACCCTAACTCCTCCCACAGTTTTTACACTACATAGACAGTAATATACTGAAACGTGCGGATTGTTCCCGATTGGTGTGCTATTACTTTGTAGAACGTTTCGCCGAATGGTTCACAAAATATCTGCGTTTTTTGTGGTGAAATTGGTCCCATAGGAATGAATGGCGGAATGTTGAAAACTAGAGTGGGAGCTGACAAAAGGTAGAGTGTGAGCTGAAAAATCAGGACATGATTTCTAAACTGCCATCACTCCTTCATTTTCAAGCCCACCTACACAAATCTTATATCAAACCGTTCAGCTATCCCTGCTGCCACTAAAAATGTCCACGGCTAAGCCATAGTCCTGATAGTTTTCACAATATGACCATTTGTTTGCAACTCACGCCGCCCATTGACATTCATTGAAACTCCACTCTAGCCACCTCAAATTTGAAGGGCAATTTCTAAACTGCAACTGTGCCTTCATTTTTAATATTTCAGAGACATGCTATGCATCAAAATGTAGGTCTTGGTCTTGTGATTCTCACAATATAAAGCTCTTTGCTGTAGGATTTAGAATTTTTAAACTACAACCGTTTCAAGATGGCAACCGCCAGTGAAGTGAGCAAGTTGGAGCAGTTTGTTTTTAACCGCTCTTCTCTGCCCTTGCTGTAGAGTGAGTTGCCATAGGAACCCAAGTGTGTGAGCAGGCAGCAGAGTGACAAGCCACTCCACCCAGTTACTCCGCCTACTCCAGTTGTAGACTACTGGTGGAGGCAAGAACACTTCACACAATTTCCCCAGAAATTGTAGCTTTTCTAGTTATTTCTAGTGTTTAAGTTGTTATGTTCTGGTGCTCAGTATGAGCAGGTAGCATCCCGCCTAGGCTGGGGAAATGTTTATTCTTTCTTCTCAATTTCGTGCCATGGAGTATAATAGCCATCTTGCCTGCACACAGCAATCTGATACACCATTGCATCTCCCAACACTTGTGCCAGATTGCAAGCTAATAAAAAGCTGCATAGTGCAATTTAAAGCTCTACTGAGCGCTTCATATCCTAACCGAATCTCATAGGTGTGCATCTGACAAACAATTAAGCTTTTTTTTGTCCACCTCTAAGCATGGAAATCCCTGATGCGGCTATCTGTTGCATCAACAGAAATATGTCAAGGCGAATTCTCGGTTTAAAAAAGAAAAAAATCAAAGTTACAAAAGCAGCTTTTTGCACATCTTCTCCTCCTAAATAAATCATGTCGCACGTTGCAATTTTGGAATACAGCTGGAAGTTTTCCTCATGCGCATTGATCTGTGGGACGTTTTCACTGGGAATTTTTATGCAAGCTCCCTTATTGGGAATATGCTAATGACCTCCAGCGCGATTACTGGTTTTCTTTTGAATCTCTATTCCTCTGTGGGCTAAGCAATCAGAAAAGGAGAAGGGGAGATTTACTGCTTGCTTGTATGCCTTCCTCAACCATCTGCTCAGTCCTGTTTCATCTGAATGTGAGCTGCGGATTTAGATGGCATTGTGAAACCGTTTCCAATGCAGGAGATAGCGCCTGTCTTTCATTGTCACTGTAATGTTGCAGGGGACTGTCAGTGTAAACATTCATTTGCATGGTTAATGTGCTTAATATGACCTGATAGTCTGCAGTTAGTTTGGTTAAACATTACACAGGATGATAATTAGTCCATCTAAATCTCTCTATGTGTTACACTTCATGAAAAAATACAGAGAAACTAAGCATGCAATCAAAGCCCAACTCTGACTTCATGAAAATGGAAAAAAACATCGCCATTCAGTAGCAAAAATAAAAAAAAAACAGCTGTCACCGCAATACTTGCTTACCCTATCACTGGAGCTACCCCCGGAACCACCCCCCCCCCACCAGACTTATGACTTCATGGTCCAGTGCTGGTTCTCTTCTGGGTTTAATGAAACCTTGCAGCATTCAACTGCCTATGAGCCCAGGGCATCAACTCCAATCACCTTTTCCTTGGGCGTTATCAAGGCCCTCTGGGCTCAAAGGTGATTATTGCATTATTGCAGGTCTAAGCAACATGCTGGACCCAGCCACTGCCATAGAAGAGGAACTGTGACATCACATACATGACCTTTCTAGTTCTTGGAAAGGGTACAAGTGCCAAAAAACAAGGGGGTGGGTAACATGAAATTTTAATTTCAGGTTTTTTTGTAGAAACTGCATTTTTAGACTTATATCTTAAGTTCAATACCAAATTCACAGACCTAGCATATTATTTATCTTTGAACTAAGACTTTTCTTCACCCAACATTCTCTCTGATGTTTATTGTTAAGCTCCACACATACTGTACATAAGAAACTCCATTTTGTCCAAGTATATGTTCCTTTAAGCTGATTTCCAGGATATCAACCACTAAGCTCCTAATCTTTCAAATACCTCTCCTCATATGACCCTTTTACTCTAAAAAATGAAATTGGTAGCAAAAAACAATGATAGAACTACCTGTGATATCATAGCTCTGTGTTTTTCTTCTTCATCTGGCCAGGCTAAGTGGGAAGGCAAACTGTGGTGCTGTCATGTACCTGCTGGAGATTGAGCTGAAGAGGGGGCTTCTCTTGTACCTATTGTCCAATACCCCTAATAGTGGTGACAGGAGATGTGAGGACACAAAGGGATTTATTTACTAAACCTGGTTGACCCAGAATCTTGTCCACTTCTGCATAAAAACCAATCAGCTTCCAGGTTTTATTGCTGAAGCTTAACTGAACATGCTAAGGTTAGAAGCTGATTGGCTACCATGCACAGGTGCCCAAGATTCTGAGTCAACCAGTTGTAGTAAATCTCCTATAAAGTGACATGAGGGCCGATGTAGCGAGCAGTGCCAGCTATTGGTTGCAGGATTCAGATGACTGTGAATCATCAGACAGGGACCAGAGACCAGTACATAGTGACACTTAATCAGAGGACAATCCAAGTGAAGAAACCAAGTAACCATGTAATAAAGCTTTGGACCCATTTTGAGGAATCCTTGGTGTGCTGGTGACATTTCTTCACTGGGATTGTCTATGGTTCCCAGACTGTGGTCACTACAGCACCCAGCAATACTGAATTGATATCTGCAGGAACATGTGTATTGGGAACATTGTGTTTAATCAGCAGACAAGAGCAAAACCATGACACAAGACAAAAGGTCAACAGATGGGCAGCAAAGTATTGGAGCATCAGGCAGATGCAGCATCAGAATTCACAGTTGGGCAGTGAGGTACAGGAATGTAAGGCAGAAGCTGAGTCGAGGTACAAGTCAAGGTCACAACAGGTAGGCAGGAATCATACACGGGAAGGCAATAATAGCAGGCCAGGGCATGGGTAAAGCAGGAACTAGCTGAAGACCACTCAGCAATCTGTTCATGTCACAATCCAGCTTAAATAGGCAATTGTGAGCCAATGACAGCGCCAGTCTTGAGCAAGCAACAGTTTTCTTGTTCTGATACGTACTGGACTTCCATTCAGGGGTGGACTGACCATTTGGAAACTCGGGCACTGCCCGAGGGCCCGGGGTCAGTAGGGGGCCCCATGAGATGCCCCTGGTACCTTTTTAATAGGCTTTTTTGAGTTTGGGCAAGGATACAAGGACCCCATGATCCCCTATTGCCCGGGGGCCCCATGAGTTGTCAGTCTGCCCCTGCTTCCATTACAGGTGCTGCACGTCATTTCGCTAACCCCGCACTGAGAGTCACATCCCATCATGCTTTGGGATGTTGATTTCCTAGTGGGTGGGTCTGTGGGTGGTGTCAGGGGAGTAATCTTGTCCTATGTCCGTGTCCCCAATAGTAGCACACCACTAACTCAAGGATTGTTTGGTGGATAACACTGAGGATGTGGGTAGAGCTGATGAACAGTGGATGGAGCTGGGCAGATATTAGAACAGACAAGCAGAACGTTCCTGTTGAATTAGATTAATAGTGCCCACTATTTCGTTAACACTGATGGGATGATGAGATCAGCAAAATAGCCAGGGGCAGTAAGGAGACCGTTCGCCCTAATGAAGATAGAAGAGCCACAAATGTCTGGTCCCCTGCAGGGGCTACTGATGATAGAAAGCCTCTGAGGGATCATTTTTAGGAATGATCTGATGAGAATAGTACATTTGTAAGGTAAATTGATCTAACATTACTACTACGTATACATGTGCCTACCAGACTACAGAAGATATCATTTGCTCGAAGCCGAACTTTTATTATTATTATTATTATACAGGATTTATATAGCGCCAACAGTTTGCGCAGCGCTTTACAAAATGAAGGTAGACATTACAGTTACAGTACAATTTGGTAGAAGAAGAAACAGAGGGTCCTGTTTGTTAGAGTGTACAATCTAAGAGATCAATAAATGTATACCGTGGCCACAATGATTATTGATTCTGTCCAATTAAAAAATGCTTGATGCAAGTAAACATGGTACTGTACAAGTGTCAGGCATTTTTTTGGCCAAAATGCTGCTGGCTTCTAGGGGCAGTTAGAATTAAACGTCAGTGTGCATGAGGCGTTAAGGTGACCTTTGACACAAGCTGATCAACTCAGCGTAATCTAAAGTTAATTAAAAGTTCAAATATTTTTTATTATTTATTATGTTTTTGTTCGACTGTCCAGTCAAAGTTAATGTTTAAATATCCTTGCATAAGACATGACTAACTCTCTAAGACCCATGGATGCAGATTCACAGTGGCTAAATGGTTAGCATTTCCACCTGGCAGTACTAGGGTCGTTGGTTCGAATCCCAACCACGGCACCACCTGCCTGGAGTTTGCATGTTCTCCCTATGCCTGCGTGGGTTTCCTCCGGTTACTTCTGTTTCTTCCCACACTCCCAAAAAACATGCTGGTAGGTGAATTGGCTCCTGTCTAAAGTGGCCCTAGTATGTGTATGTATGAATGTGAGTTAGGGACCATAGATTGTACGCCCCTTGAGGGTTAGGGACTGATGTGAATGTACAATATATATGTAAAGTGCTGCGCAAATTGACGGCGCTGTATAAGTACCTGAAATAAATAAATATTTGTACTTATAATATCTTTTAATAATCACCTTGTGTACCTGACTGCACAGCAGCACTCAGACTGGAAGCGGTAGGACCAGCACTGTGGATCAGCCAGAAGTCTTCATCTTTACATAGTGCTGTCAGTCAATAGTTGAACATGCTTACAGAAACAGTCATGACCTCAACAGTATGCAGTTTCTGATTCATTGTACAGTCTCCAGCTGGAGACAGGTTGGTGACCAGACTATAATTTTGAAGAGCAATAGAAAAGGGTGGGGTCACCTGAGATGTATGGCAGAGGATCCTGGATCAATTTCAACAGTTCACATAAATGTATTGTATGTATTCAGCTATTTGTCTGGAGGTCAGTTTTAACCCTCACAACACCACAATCATTTGTTTAGCATAGGCACCCTCTATTTCTTATGACTGTGCTTACCACATTCTTATTCCATAGGCTCTCTTCTCGAACATTTGCCTAAATGATATTCGACCAGAGCAAAGTGTCCATAGATATTAAAGTGAAGCTGTGGCCAGGATATGGGCAATAAGCTTTTACCAATCAGTAAATGAATTTAAAAACAAGCCATCAATTACCTTTTAGCTGCAGTCAATGAGAAGCAAATCATCATCAAAACATATTGGCAGAAACACTAAAATCCTTTAAATTCTTCTCTCATTTGCTCAGCTCCACCTGCTGACTCAGCAGCTCTGCTCCCCCTGATCCCCTTCCAGCATTTGCTCAGCAGGTCAGCTTCCCCTGCCCCTCCTCCCCCATCGCTGACTTAAAAGTCTTCCAAGATTCTAATCTCTAGATCATTGAGCTCCGTAGCTGCAGACACTGTGAAGCAATTATCATCAAATTTTTGGCAGAAGCAATTAAATTATTCAAGTCATTCTCTCAGCAGCTCATCTTCTCCTGCTCCCACCTCCCAACAGTGTCCCAGCAGTTTAGCTCCCCCTGTTATCCATCTAGCAGTGCCACAGCAGTTCAGCTCCCCCTGTTGCCTATCCTAGCAGGGCCTCAGCAGCTCAGATCCCCCTGCTTCGTGCCTCCCTAGAAGTGACTCAGCAGTTTAGCTCTTACGTCCTCCTCCCAGCAGTGAGTCAGCAGCTAAGCTCTCTGAGACCCTAGTCTCCAAACAGTAACTCATCAGCTTCTCAGCCTTTTATTCTCTTATGTTAACACCCTGGGAGCTCTTAGTGGAGGGATGGGGGAGGGGGAGTCATGGCAAAGTGAACCGAGCTGCTAAAACGACAATGTCAATGCTTTTGCAGCGAGCTTTGAGATTTAATTGCTCCACTGTGCTTGTGGCTACAGGAGTCAGTGATGGCTTGTTTTAAATCGTATTTACTGCATTTTATAAATATGTAAATGGTCATTCTGGGCTATAAGTTCACTTTTAGCTGACCTACACATGTTTCAATGTGATCTCTGTATATACTATCAGTCTAACGCATGCTGCATTCTGTGTGCAATAACCTGCCAGTTTACCATTCAGTTCAATTCGAATGGAGTCTTTCAAAATGGTAGAACATATGTCAATGCTCATCAATGCAATGCACATTCTAATGTAAAACAAGCCTCAGGAAGGGTGCTACACTTAGGATATCCATAGATGCTTTAAACCAAAAAATAATCTTGGTAATAAATAGGTTAAAGCTAACTCTGTCAAAGGGAGAAAAATCTTCTATTCCCTGAGCTATTCTATTTACATGTAGGTTTTAGAAGCCTCTTTTTCTGTCATTTTGCAAAGAGCCAGATTCTTTATATACTGACAGTTCCCAGTCAGGGAAGATTGGTATAGCAGAACTGATAATAACCCAGATTCCGTAATTTATCACATTCATCCGCATGTGGTTCAGAGCACCCCTGGAAACATAATTACATTGAAGGAACTGGATGAGGCCAAAACCCATGGACTTACCGTTAATGAACAGTCATTACCGTTGATGCCTTTCCATCTGTAACAATCTCATTTACATTTTATCACTCTACCACCGATTCATGTAGCATTTTATAGATGATGTTTCTTTCACTGCCATTTCAGAACTGGTTTGTGAGCTTTTCTGTGGTGCCCCAAAGTCACTATTGTGATTAAATGCAAAGCAAATCTAATTGTGACAAAATAATTAAAGTCAATTTGAACCCAATAACAAAATGTAATGTATTGTAGATCACCAGTCCATAGATGTGATAGCTGCATCAGTTCTCTTCTCAGACTAAGGCAGGCCTTACCTGATTCATTTTCTTGTGTTCAACTGGAAGCTGAGTGAAATAAAATGAATTGATTCCCCCATCCACACATTCAAGTTGAATGGGGGAGTCCCTCCTGTGGAGTTTTCAGGGTCATTATACAGGTATGGTATATGCAAAGCTACATTGGTGCAAACTGATGTATAAAATATCCGTATTTGGCATTTGGTTTGAATCCAAAAGGAAGCTGTCAGTGTGAGGCCATTGAGCTGCTAGTGGAGGATTACCTGCCCCACAGTCACACATACAAAAAAAGAGACAGGGATAGTCATCACAAAATTGACCGGATATGGGCATATGGCCATATTAAGTCATTGACATTGACAATGACATTAATCTACAGTGGCTATGTGGCCATATTAGGTCAATGATGTCATGAGCAGGGAATCCCTTACCCACAGCTGATTGGCCCAACAATGGCAAATTCCTTCCAGTTTCAGCTGAACATGGGTTTGAACAAAGCACAAGTCAAACCAAAGTACATGCCTAGATACAATATATTAGGTTTTAGTTCTTGGGTTCAGGTATCCTTTACTTTATCTATATATATTTTAAAATGCTTTGGGAACAATATGTTGCCTATAAACCAAGACCTTGGTATTTGTATGTACTTTATTATTTTGCTAGTATTAATACAGCATGCTTGCCTAGGAAGGGAAGCCTTGAAAATACATAAATAACTAATCTGCGGAAAAACACATTCATTTATTGCCAAAGACAGATGTAAGTGTGATACTTTTCAAGTAAACATTTTCATAAATCACATTATTTATCTGCAAATTAAACATTTTATTGTGCCAGACATTCATTCATGTACAGGATATGGCCTGGCACATTATGAATGAAACCACTTTACTCCTAAGCTTGACGCCGGCTCGCTCGCTAACTAGCGATGGTGCTCTTCAGAAAGCGTACATTTTTGTCTTGTTTCGTAAGACTTGGCTTAGGGAGTTTGAAGTCTGTAGGAGGCCATACAGGCCAGTGGGGCCCTCTTCCAATTACATAATATAGTACAAACCTGCCAAAAGTCTTAGGAGGTATCATTTTTAATTAGACAAACTTAGTTACATAAAGCATATTTTCTAGACATATAATAGAGCTATAAAAGTAAATGGAGTAATAGAGCAAAAAGCTTCACAGGTAGAGCAAAAATGTTCCCACTTTGTTTAAAGCCAAAGTAGAGATACCTAATAGTTGTTAGTGACATTCAACAGGACTTCATCTGCAATTTTAGGAACATACTCCATCATCTAGAACTCCACGCAGATATAATAGCCACACATTAGTACATCATAAAGCATATTTTTAAATGTTAGTATTGTAAGTGCCTGGATTTAACCTGCTATCAGACTTTTTCATTCCCTATACTACAGCGCTGTAGTGTGGGGGGAAGAATCAGCAAAAAGGATTACAAGGAGCATGTTGGTAGAAGCAAAAG